CCGCTCCCCTTTGCTCCTGCAGCTCTGCTCTGAGCCCTGCCAGCCCCGGGAAGCGGCCAGGAACCGCTTGGCTTGGCACGGCACAGCCCTGCCCGTGAGAGGCCTCGAGGGCCCCTCGCACTCCCCTGAGCAGCGGACAGAGCCTTTAGGGTCCCAGGGGTGGCAAGTATTTCTGCGGCCACTGCTAGGGCTCCCTCGATTGGCGACACGGGGGGGGAGGGGAAGGGGGTGGCGAGAGACTGCGAGCTGAGGGACTATTTGGTGTGAATTACATGGCAAAAATGGTATTTGCGGAAGACACGGGAGACGTCGAGCTGGGAACCTCAGTAGCGCGTCCCCGTCGGTTGGGCGGAGTTCGTGGTTCGGCCAGTTTGCAGAGGCCGGGGGAGGCCGAGGCACATCAGAGTCCTCGGGCTGCTCCGAAGCGATCAGGGTCCCACAGGCAGCGGCTGTCGGGTACCCCGGTCTCCCCCTCCCAGGGCCCCAGAGCCGCCTGCGACAGAGGCAACGCACGAAACTGGCGGGTGGCCCTGGGAAAGGCTCCAGAGATGAGCATTTCTGTTGTGTGAAGTGTCCGCATTAGCAACCCGAACACGTAGGGGAAGGCTGACATCTGCGGTTTGGTACGAGGCACCCGAAAAATGACAGACCTCCTGGTTCAGAGGGGAGCGCCCGCTGCGGCTCCCGAGGGGAGGGCCCTCTGGCGCCCGGCTGCTCCTGCAAGAGCGGCTTCCCAGGGAAGGAGACCCCCGCCCCTGAGCCTTCCCCAAGTCTAAAGGCGCGGGAATACGACACGGTCCCTCTACCTGGGACGTTCACCATCAGTTCCCAGAAGTGAGAAGACAGAGGGAGAACTTATGTGTAAACTTTGAGCCTGATTCCAGTGGGAGCATAAATAATAATAGTTTCTAGGCTTTTGTCCCTGGTTTCCAAAATAACATGTAAAGTCGAGGGTGCACAACGGGTCGTTTTCCTCAGCCTTTGTGTCAACGCACCTCTGCTTTTGACTCATCACCGCACAGTTTAGTCCACCCTGGATTTTCAAGATCATCCAGATCTCTGGCCTGGGCTCGAAAGAAGCCAGAACTTTATTTGTAACGAGCCTCAGGGACTGGCGAAACCCGCCTGGTAGACCCTGGGGAGCTGGCTGTGAAGGCGCAGTCGGATCGTCAGTGTGCAGGGGCCACCCCCTCTGTGAGCACACACTCACACACACACAAAACAGGGGCAGAAATATAGACAACTGTCGAGAAAGGAAGACAAATAAGCAATAAAAACAGGGAAAAAAAAACCACAATGGTCTGAATTAAACAAAAACAAACAAACAAAAAAGGCAGCTGGCAAAAGAGGAGTCCTTAAACTTTCCTCTGGCTTTCCTCATATTTTCTGTAGCTTGAACTAGAGTGTTAAAGTCGCACGACGGAAGGCATATGCCATCTCCGCGGATCTGCGTTTGTATGACCAAAGTATTCAGGGGCACTCTTTCTACTGTGATGGGTTTCCCAGCAAGGATTCAGAAAGGAACAACACGCCTAAATGGGACATTGAAGTACCAATCTATGGGGCAAAGGATGTATTGTGAGAACAGATGAGGGTATGCTTGGCACCGCTGATATTTATTGACATTATCCAAAAAGAAATAAGTTAAAGAAATGTTAGGTACTCCGTGACACAATTGTTGCACAAACCGCCTTCAGTCAAGTTGCAATTTGTTTTCAGGGCTCTTTTGCAAGCATCCTCTACCCATTTGGTTTGGAGGAAGAGATCTTATGGGCTGTTCTGCATTTTCAGGGACTATCAAGTCAAATCTGAGAGAAAAGAGTCTGTTTAGAAAAGAAAAAGTGCTGCTTCGTGGAGTCCCATGTGCTTTTTAAAACGCCGTATCTCAGAGAAAAGGCCTGTGGTACCAGCTTCCTAGATCGTGTCAAATTATAACAAACTGAATAGCAAGAAGCAATTACAAAGGAAATATTGTGATCAGTGTTGTGGGTAAAATCAGAGCCGGGCTTATAAAGGAATATTAACTCTGATATTATTATTGTTATTATTATTAATCAACAGCGATTAGGTTTGTATTAAGCCTAAAGACCTTTTCCTGTAGATGGCGTCTTTTGGGTACTGAGTAATCAGTAATACTACAGTCGTACCCAGGAGACTTTATTAAGCCTCGGATGTTAAAATAATTGGTAATTTTTTTTTTAGTTATGCACTTATTGAAAGTGAAAAAGCCTTGATTTATAGTAAGCAAAAGTGTGTTTCTCCTACACTTGGATGCAAATAAAAACTGTTTGAATAAATAAGTTGTTTCTGAACATTTTGTTGTCAGTGTTAAAAGTCCCCGTCATTTTTATTCAAACACTAACATGATTACAGCCAATTATATATTCACCAATGTTCTTTATTTTAGAGTAATTGTACTTTTCACTAATAAAACAGACATAATGGATCGCTACTGTTCTGAATTTTAAAGCCATTTTCTGTTATTCGATTGAATTATACATCGTCTATGCTACTTTTTTTATTTCTATATTTTGAAATCCTATTTTCTTGAAAATTGCAGCTCTATTCCCGTTTTGTTGTTCGTGAAGTAACGAAACCTTCTGTAACATTTATAAATAGATGCTCGTCCTTTTTGAAATGTGGAAAATCAGGATTTCAGCCCCAACACACCGATAACTTTAGACTCAAAATCTGAAAGTCCAGAGGAGCCCCTGAATGAGAACACTTGGCTCGACACGGCGTCCTCCTTCGAGATGAGGAGCATAGGCAATGACAACAAAATCTCGACCTGCATAGAAGGTTTGACTGCTTTATTGTGATGATTTGGTGAGCTTCTTGGGGCTCAAACACAAAATCACAAGCAGTTCAGTGGCTAATATTTACCACACGAGAACAGGTAAAGACGGGGGCAAATGCAATGTCAATTACATCCCTCCAAAAGATTAGAGAGATTATCACTATGTTCTTTTGGGTGGCAGCTGATGGGACGAAGCCCAGAAGTGATTTGGCTATCTTTGGCACAGACAACTGAGTCGCAGAGTGGCACGTAAGTGCATGGAAACACAGCACACGCACGGAAAACATCGCGCCGCGTTATTACACCTCTCCTTGGGTGGTTGAGCTCTTAGAGGGTTGGGGTTTTGTTGTTTTTCAAAGCCGAAAACATGACTTTAATTTAGCAATTGTATCAACTATCAACGTGATGAGGTATGATCCGTGTTGTCGCCAAACACAAATCAAAAAATGATACAAAGCCTTTACAAGTTAATTTCATGTGACAAAACACGTGCCCACCACAACAGATAAAGTTAAACTACCGTTTACAAACCCTGCGACTGCGTGAAAAGGTACCTCTTAGGTACATTTAGCACAGTCGAACGCGGATGTTATTTTCCGCTATTCTGTAAGGTAAAAACGAGAGGAGTCGCGGGACTCCCGGGGGCTCACCGGGAGAGCCCTTCTGTCAAGCCTTGGCGGGACCCCATCCTGACTCTGGGTGAGAACACGCTTCTTGCCTATTACCCCAAGAAATCAATCTTGGAAGGAAAGAAAGAAAAAAAAAAAAGAGAAGGAAAAAGAAAAAAAAAAAAAGGGAAAAAAAAAGTGATCTACTACTATGGTTTTATTTATAACTTACAATGACTTGTGAGCCTTTTCTTTACCCTTTCGTTGACGTTTTGAAATGAGTGTGAAAATAAAGTGTAATGCCATCCTGTGCTAGCATTCTGCTAGTAGGCAAATAGAAATTATTTACTTGATGTAGTTTCCAGAGCTCCGGCAAGATTTGATTATTTAGGTGGAGTTTATAATCTCCATTATAATAAATACTGTTTTCTAAAAACTCCCTAGGAAACGTAACCTCTGAGTGTGTGTGTTTGTGTGCAAGCCTATGCGAGCGCCCCATCTAAAAGACGCGGAGAAAACACACAAAGGAGAAGCATCCAGGGAGAACTCTTTCTTTCACCGTTTCTCCTCTCCACATTGTCAGTGCGCGGAAAGTCTGTCTGCAGCCGCTTCTCTTTCTTGGTCAAATTATTGTCGAGGCAAAACTACAAACCCCAGGCTTTAGCAAGGCACCGTCCGTGCTCCGTGGGAGGGACACAAATGGGGTTTAACTTGTTGCCAGTCATTTTTTTTTATGTTTGTTTGTTTGTGCTGGTGCTTTAAAAGCGAAACAAATTCCCGAAACAAAGGGGGGGGGGGGAGGAAAAGGAGGGGGGAGCTGGAGAGAGGGAGGGAGGGAGGGAGGGAGGGAGGGAGGGAGGGAGGGAGGAAGGGAGGAGGAAAACAAGCTCTGTATAAAAGACGTATCATATTAAAATAATGCAAGAACACACCCACTGATATCAAGGGCACGATATCCGCTCTTCCCCAAGAAACTTATTTAGAAGAGGTAGCGGTTATAATAATCCAACAAGCCCTTTACTATCACTCCCTCCTCCCTACGGTAAAGAAAGAAAGAAAGAAAACATGGAGACCACCCTGCCCTGTATAAAAAGTGCTCAGAACAACCTACATAAAGAGGCAACGCCCGCCAACCCTGCTTATGCGGGGGGACCAAGGAGCGCCCAAGGTCTGATCTGCTTCCCGGGCCGCGTCCTGAGAGCTAGAGTAAATCCCTTACCCCGGCACCACAAGTGCGGGTCCCACCGCTGCCTTGGGCTGACGGGCCGTGCCCCGGGCACCGAGTCCCTGAACCGCCTCCTCTCTCCTGAGCCCCAAGCACCCAGAAAGCCCAAACGGGCTTTGCCCAGCGTCTGGCCGAGAGCCTGCTGCAGACGGGTGTAGAGCTGTTCATGGCTTTTGTGCTATACCGGGCATTTTGCTATGGTTACAAGGGGGCCCCTGGGCGGGATGGGGCGGGGGGAACCGTAAGAGAGTGATGTTCCGATTTTGTAGGCCCTAAAAATTGGATCCTCAGTTAATCTTGGAGAGCCCGAGATCCCGGGAAGTCAAGGGGTGCGGTGGAGGTGCGGTGCAGTGCGGTACAGTGAGGAAGAGGAGCTGCAGGGTGGAGCAGAGCGAGCAGCGCCCGGCGGGCAGGTATGTAGGATGTGGGGGCAGCCCCGGCGCCCCCTTCTGCGGAGCGCTGGGGTGAAACAGCACCGGCAAGGAGAGTACACCGGTCCCTGTGCCGAAGAAGGCAAAATAGAAGGGATGGGAGGTGGGAGCTTTTTCTCTCGAGTTACCGAAAAACTGCAAACCAGATACATGTGTCATTTGCCAAAGATTACGTTTGTAAGAGGCTAAAGAGCTACAACACCATGAAAATATTCCAGCCACAGTTTTTGGGAGTCAAAGAGCAGCTACAAGTCTTCTTCAAGCACTATTTGGGTTTGTGGGGTTTGTTTTGGTTTTTTCTTCTCCAGGTCTTTTTCTTGCCCTGTATTTTATTCCCCTAATCTTTAATTCAGTGTGATAACTCCGGCAAAAGCACTGTGTTGCCCAAGAATATTTTAACAGTAAACACAAAAGAATATAAAATTACGTATTTAAACCTCGAGAACAGTCCAAGGTTTTTAACTTGTCCATTTTCTCCCTGCATTTCATTATTTCCGTCTGCATAACTCTGTGGATAATTCTTAAGGGATATTTAATTTTCGGTTTGATTCCTGAATCAGGGAAAGCTTTTATTACACAGGGGCACCTATTACCTAGGCAGGTGTGACGGCTCTCTTATGCAGACTGACATATAAAATAATAGTGACATTTAGGATCTAAGAAACCACACGTCTTAACGTTAAAGTTGGCAGCGAGTGTAAAAATATTCCGTTCTGAAAAATTCTGGCAGTGGCAGCTGAACACGCCAAGACTGGTGGATGCTCTAACACTCTCGATACAGGCTCTCTGTGGATGGTATTCCACAGCTACAGGAATAAATAAATAAAATCTCCAGCTTTTAACTAAGGCGATTTAATTCAGACCTCTCCACCCAGCGTAGCCGCCGTGGGAGATGTATACTCCAGTGTTTACTCGGATCCCTTTCTGCCACTATTCTATCTTGCCTTTCCCTTACGGCACCAGCGAAGCTTTCTGGTCCCCGCAGCCATGTTTCCCGGTTCCACGTTCTCTGCCCAACCTCCGCCCGTCCAAGAAACTTCTGAAAGTTCATCGGAAGGGGAACTCTCTACACCTCGGTGGTTAATGCCACTGTTTTAACGCTACCTCTCCCCGGGCTGCGCAGGCTTCTCCAAGGTACACAGTGCCCCGCTGGTTGTTCTTTATGGTACAGTGCAGCTTCTCAAAAGATCATCGGACGGAGAAATTTAGCTCTTGTTGAAACATTTAAACAACTGAGCAATTAGTTCTGAATGGGGGTGGGAGGAGGGAAGACTAGAGAGCTTAAAGGCGGGAGGGGGGGGGGAGTGGGGAGGTGGTGGTGGTGGTGGTGGGATACAACACAACTAGCCCGAAAACAACAGGGGTGGGGATACATGGGAGGGGGACATAAAATGTTTGTATTTAAAGGGTGCTTTCAAGGTCTTCGGCACAATATGTGCTGATCTCCTTAAAGGGGCACAGAGTGCCAATAACCATTAGTCATCCAGCAGAGACTTTTCATTACAGATCTATCTTTAGAGGGAGTTCCCCGAAGTCTCCGGAGGGAACATAGCTGCGGATTTCAAACCCGGTCCGGTTCCAGTCGCACAATGCCTGCTGCAAGAGAAAGGGGAGATAACTCACCAGAGTTTCAGGAATGCGCAGGTAGCCCAAAGGTCTCAGCGGTGCTCCTTTCCTCTGCGGAATATTATCTTGCATCGAGGCAGTTCCCAGTCTATATTTGACGTTACCATTTATGCTATCTCGAACACGAGACTCTCCCATAGACATTTTTTTCCAGGGTTTTCAAGAAAATTTCTCGATGCCACAATGTTATGATGGAAGGATGCTGAAATGACAGGCCTCGTAGACGCTTGTCTTAATCATCGGCTTCTTAATTTAGTTTTAGTGCTGTGGTTTGTATGTGTGTGCGTGTGTGTCTGCGCGTGTGTGCGCACAAGAGAAGTCTCTGACAACCTGCAGCTTCCTAATGACTGACGAGGCAGGGCTGCTGCAGCAAAGTAACACTTCCCTGGTGTGAAGACCTCTTACTGGGAAGTTTAGTTCACTACTGTTCTCGCAATCCTAATCGTATAACCTGTAACCAAAGCCCAAGGAAGAAAGATACAGCATGCTAAATAGACTAACTTCTAATCACCAAACGTTAGCACCACTACCAGCTGTTGCTGATTAATTGGAAGTTGGCTGTAGATGGACATCTAAACTTAGATCCACAAATGCGACTAGAAGGGTGGACCGCTGAATGCTTCTTCCTCTCCCTCTTTGCCTCCATTCATCCACCCACCTTCAGTCCCATTCACCCCTCTTCAGAATGTTTGACTACCTCCTTCTCTTTGTTCGCGCACCGCTCAGTCCCCATTCGCCGTGCCTTGGCAGCAGGGTATCAGTGTCTGCTGGATAGCCCTTACCTTAATTCCCCAGGTAACCTGGACTAACTAAGGTAGGCTTAGAGTCAACGGGGAATAGACTTATACATGCATACATGCAGACGTTTACTCTACCGAATGTGATATTACTGACTGCTAAACCGAAGTGTCCCGACTAGTTTAATGGAAGCATGATGCCATCGAAGCGTGGTTATTAAATACCCTTTCTTCATGGCTGAAAAAAACCTCATTCATTTCTTAAGCTGTCAGTACATTTTAACCCCTTGAAAGAACCTGAGAGTACAGAGCCGCTACACCCCTGGGAAGGGGAATTGAAGGCTGGAGCTGGAGGAAGATGGGGGGCATGCTGTGCCCATTGAGCTTACAGGAGAAAGAGTCTGATTTTCCACTGACTTTTAATTTAAAATAATAATAATTAAAAAAATACGAGGGAGAAAAATGTGCGGTTGAAATTCTATCTCTATGAGTTATACCCCAGAACTGCACGAAGATCCCTGTCTGACCACTTCATTCAAGATATTTCAGCCCAGCTACTCACCCCCACCATGACCCCGGAGCTGGACGCTCTCTGCCCATCCCCTCCGCTCAGGGCGGCGGGTCCCCAGGCAGGCGCGAGCGCAGGTGAGCAGCTGCCTGTGAGCAGCGCCGGGTCCCCTCTGCCTACCCACTCGTGTTCCGCAGGGCTGGGGCCGTGCACTCCCTTTCCACTCACACGCTGCTCCTTCAGACATCCCACGAACCCTTTCCTGTAGGGGAGGGCTGCCGTGAGGGGCCTTCTGACAGCAACCACAGCTGGGGGCCCAACCGGGCTCCACGATGCACAAAGCCACCACCGGAAGGGACGGGAGCGGGTGTCGTGGCCAGGGCAGAGCTCAAGGAAGAGCTGGTATTAGGGCCGGACTCCTGCCTTTCCAAGTAAAAGTAAACCTCCAGTTTTACACAAGGAAAATTCTCTGCGGGAGAGGGGAAAAAAAAAAAAAGTAAAAAAAAAAAAGGAAGAGTGACTCTAAAGTCCATCAGAACTAATAATTGAATTGGCTTCTCTCACATATCCTTCTCTGTCCTGTAAACAGAGAATTAATCTTCATAGGCTTAGAGATATACACTACATATTGGACACAACATTTCCTTCTTTGGTAGAACTGTATATCCACGGCATTAAAAAAGAAAAAAATAAATCCTAAGTTTGTGCACAGTATTCTGCATCCGTGACAAATGACTGCATGTTAAATCTAGATCCTCAAACATTCTAAAAACTTGCTTCTTTCAGTGCTAGCCCTTTGCTCAGAAATGCGAAAGGATAAAAAGTTCATTTTCTTCCCTGCTGCATTTTCATCCCTGATCACAGAGCAAAGTAAACTCCGCTTTGACCTAAGAAACACCTCAACGCATTAAAATTTCAACAGACAATGTCAGTGTTACATTAAACGAGAACTCCTCCATCTCACTGCAGAGCTGGGATTTGAATAAAACGCTCAATGTTAACAAACAATACACACGTTTGGCACTTTGTGTATTAAATGGATCAAAGAGATTTGATAAGGCACAATACACCATTTGTACAGACCTGATTGAGTTAATATAATATCAGCAAATTTTACAGCGAAATGAATCTGTTTCTTTTCTTTGTGTTTAAAACCAGCACAGATTACAAATTTTAATGATCTGAAAATGTTTGGTATACAAAATCATGCTTATTTCAGTATTAGCAAAAACACAAGAAATTTTTCAACACAAACACCCAGCTGTGTCTATTTTAAAAGCAGTTCAATGACAGCTTGCACTTATGAGCATGCAATCAGCTAATTTTGCTTTTTTTTTTCTTCTGTGTTAATCAACACTTTCCTTCCTGCATATCAGAGTACAAATAGTATAGTTACTCCACATCAGTAAATGTTTACGTAACCTGTCCTTTCTCAAGAATCCGGTTACACCGAATCATTACATGCTAGACCGAGTAGGAAAATGCATTGGGCCCAGCCACCCTAATGGGGATCCTAGTGCACCATAATGACACATATTAGTTAATGATCATCATAATCATAATAATATGCAGGAATCTTACCTTTCCTCTTACCCTTTGCCATGATCGACTCAAATCCTCCACACTGCAGTCTTTTTTGAGAATTCCCATTCATTGACTTCAGTGTTAAGCAATAAAATAATTACAAATTGACGTGATTTTTTTTTAACTGCATTTCTAAAAAAAAAAAAGGAGATAAAAAAGTAAAAAATCAGCGCGGTTGATCATTGACTTTTATCTCTTTTTTTTTTTTTTTTCAGTAGCAACCTGTCATGAAATTAGATAAATAAATACAATTGTGGTAAGGTCATTCGAGGTTAATCCAATGTACAGAGTTCATGCCATTCCCAATTGCAATTGTTTATTACCGGCCCATTGTAATTGTTCTCCTTATTTACTCTTTCTTACACACTCTCTCTCTTCCTCACACACACGCATCCACACACACAAAACGCACGTCCACACACAACCGCTTTTGCTGCAGAGAGGTCTAACCTGAATTTTCCCGGGACAGATTGTTTCAGCTGGGGTTGAGGTGCACATATTATTTCTACGGATTATCTTTTCCTACAGCACGAAAGTTAACTTTCGGGCACCGAGCGCGGCGCTGTACGTTCTGCTTCGGTTCCAGCGCGATCAGCGCGCTCTCCATCCAGTACGTTTCCCCTTCTACCTCCCGAGAGAGAAAGCTCCGCGGTTTATTTCGCTTTGTTTCAGGGCTGATTTTTTTTTCCTTCTCACGCTCACAGTAAGGCCCGAAGGGGTGAGGCCGGCGAACCTCAGCCCCTGGGCCCAAGGACTCCGCAGCCCCGAGCCCGACTCTCTGTGAGGGAAGCAGGCAGAAAGCAGCGGTGCCAGCCCGGTGCCAGCCCGGTTCTTTTGCCCTTCCAGCAGCCAGACACCCCCGTCCCCCAGCGACACGACACCAGACACCCGCCGTCCCCCAGCGATACTACACCAAACCCCCATGTCTGGACACCGCTGGCCAGGCCTGGGGGAGCGGAAAAAAACGTAATATATATATCCTGGGTTATTAGTAGTAGTATTTATTTTTTACACCTGACACACGGCCTGCGGTTTCCTGGCTGGAGTGAACCGGCAGCGCCAAGGCGGACACGGGAGGACCCGCCGCCACGCCGGCTGTGGACGGGGAGTCGGGGGCTAAGCGCGAAGCCCCAAGTCCAGCTCCGCCACTGGCCTGGCGCTGCGCCCGCCCGCCGGGGATACGGGGAGAGGAGGAGAGCGGAGGGGGCTCTCCCGCTGCCCTGCCTTCCCACCTCACATGACGTGCTGCGGGACGCCGTCTTCCCCGGCAGGCCGCGGCCTCCGTCCCGGCCGGGCCGCAGCCGGATCCCCGGCCAATGTCAGCTGCAGGCCGGCCGCACCGCCCGCGGACCCTCCAGCTGATTATTATTTTTTCTTTTCTTTTTTTTTCTCTTGGTAAAACAACAAATAACAGGGGTCTAGAAAAAAAATAAATTTGCTGAGTGACTTCGGGGGGATCCGCAAAGTAGTACCTCCGCCCCCGGTGCGCCGCAGCCTCCTCTCACACTCGGCCTCCCAGTCCGCCTCCTCCGCCGCCAGAGGAGGGGACAGAGAGCGACGGGGCAGCTTTAGTCCACCGGAGAAACTAGGAAGTACGAAAACCCGGTTGGGCCCGCAGTCTTGGGACAGGCGCTGTTTGTTTGGCGTGAGGGGATTTGTGTTGGGCGGCGGGAGGTTGGAGGGGGCAGAAGGTGGGGGGGGTGCCCACAAATCGCCTTGGTGATGCGCCCCTGCGCCGGTATCCCTGCGCCGCGGGAGCCGCGGCGGCGGCGGCGGCGGCGGCTGCGGCGGGGGCCGGGCCTGCGGCAGGCGGAGGGCGGGGCGGCGATCCGCCATTGGCCGGCGGGCGGGCCGACGCGCGGGCACGCCGCCGGCCCTGATTGGGCGGCCGGTGGGAAAGGTTAAACCAAAAAATGTTTTACAGCGGCGGTGCGTGTCGGCAGCTCTGAAATTAATTGCGGCCCCGGCGGTCCGTACCGCCCGGCTCCGCTCGCTCCTCGCCGACCCGCGGCTGCGGCTGCTCCGTCCTCCCCCCTGCTCCGCCGTGCCGGGGGAACCGGCACCATGAAGTAGCTTTTTTTTTTTTCCTTGTGTATGTTTGTGCGGGTTTTTTTTGTTGTTTTTTTTTTTGTTTGTTTTTTTTTTGTTGGGTTTCCAGAGGGTTGTGTTTTTTTTTTTCCTTTTTCTCTTTTTTTTTTTTTTTGTTTTCCTCCGCTCTGACTCGGTTTAATTTTATCTGATTGGTGACTATTATTGTTACTATTATTTTTTTCCCTCTCCGGCGGTTCCTGTCCTTGCTACATGACTTGCCAGCGCTTGAGACTGCGGTCCAACTGCGCTACCGCCGCCGCCGGTGGTACCGCTGCCACCGCTGCTGCTGCCGCCGCCACCTCGGCCACCGCCGCTCCGCGGGCTGCTCCCTCGGCCGCTGCAACTTTCCCCCTCAGACTAGTGTGTGATGTTGGACATGGGAGATAGGAAGGAAGTGAAAATGCTGCCGAAATCCTCCTTTAGCATAAACAGCCTGGTGCCCGAAGCCGTCCAGAGCGACAACCACAGCAGCCACAGCCACCACAACAGCCACCATCCCCATCACCACCACCACCACCATCACCACCACCACCACCCGCCGCCGCCGCAACAGCCTCAGCGAGCAGCCGCGGCCGAGGAAGAGGACGAGGAGAAGGGCCAGCTCCTCCTGCCGCCCCCCGCTGCCGCCGCAGCCGGCGCCCTGGAGGTGGCCAAGGCGGACATGCTGGCGGGCAAAGGCGACGCGGGCGCGGCGGCGGCAGCCGAGCTGGAGGAGAAGGAGAAGGCAGCGGAGGAGAAGAAGGGGGCAGCGGAGGGGGCCAAGGACGGGGAGAGCGGGAAGGAGGGGGAGAAGAAGAACGGCAAGTACGAGAAGCCGCCGTTCAGCTACAACGCGCTCATCATGATGGCCATCCGGCAGAGCCCCGAGAAGCGCCTCACGCTCAACGGCATCTATGAGTTCATCATGAAGAACTTCCCCTACTACCGGGAGAACAAGCAGGGCTGGCAGAACTCCATCCGCCACAACCTCTCCCTTAATAAGTGCTTTGTCAAGGTGCCCCGGCACTACGACGACCCGGGCAAAGGGAACTACTGGATGCTGGACCCCTC